TATATATATATATATATATATATATATATATATATATATATATATATATATATATATATATATATATATATATATATATATATATATATATATCAAATAATCACTTGGAGAAGCGGGTTAGTCTCATGTTGAAGTCAACGATGACGGCATGTTATCAGCTTGCTGCATTATTCAGTTCGTACCTAAAGAACTTTCATAAATAATATATTCAAATAGTTGGTGGTCAATGTCCTTTTATGGTTCCGTAAGCAAGTAAGATGGTCATTTAATATGACCAATTTGTTGGGTTGGAGATCAAATAAAAATTTTGAGCCAAACTAAGCGTGCAAGTTGGTGTTACACATGCGCTATAGGAACTCTTTATGTTCATACTGAACCTTCTTCTTCCTAATCCTGTCAATTTGCACCTGTGTACTCAAGACAGTCAACCTGCAGACTTGAGTAGTGGGTTTCGACGAGCTTTGACGTCATCTTGTCGAGAAAACCATTATTTAAGTTTTTAAAATAATATCTATAAACCATTATTAGGAAATTTAATTTAATGAGACCATAATTTTGTTACCACAGATGAATACCTAAATAAAGAAAATTCTATTAAAAAAATATAATAACATATAAAATTATAACAGGAAAGACTATTGTCGCGAAGATCTCTCGTAATCGATGTGTTTGATAACTTTGATCTTTTGTATTTCTTCTTAATAAATAAGAAAACGAGACACAAAGTAAGCTTTTATATATGAGATTAGGCTTGTAGAGACAATGACATCGATCAAAAAATTAAGATGGTATCATAGCAAGAACTGTGTATCCATCACTTTTTCTCAGGATTTAATTAAAATTATTTTTTTATGTAGCATTAGTATTCATTGAGCACACACACCATAACTTACATACGTTAAGCCTAACTTCGGGGTTTATTTGATCTCCCAATCAAATTATTTAAGATGACATCAGAACCAAAGATCTTGATTCAAATCCTGTTTGGCCCAAACTCAGAAACAAATATTAATTTCCATATGGATTTAAGCCATATGTCACCAACACAACACACGAGGAAGATTGTTATACATAAAAAATTAAAATCAAATATCATCTAACTTTTAAACACAATGACATCGATCCATAATTTTAGATTTGCGTTAGATTTTCATAAAAATCAATAAACAACAGACCAAGCAACTGTTTTTGTTTTCATATTTTACGTATAAAACCGCTAGCTATGATTGAAGCAGACCGTCTGTAAGTAGATATCTGTTTCCATATTTGTTGCTACCACAAGTTCAAAGAGTACTCCCACCATGCTTCCCTCGATCAGCTCCACCCAATTTCTGCTCTTCTACCTCATCCTCCTCTTCGTCCCCTCTCGAACAGTTGCCTACCGGTGGCAAATCTGCAGCACAAGGGGCGGCAACTTTACTGACAACAGCACCTACGAGTCCAACCTCAACCTCCTCCTCTCCTCCCTCGTCTCGAATGGTTCCGGTTCTGGCTTCTCTACCGGCACCCTGGGACGGATACCCAACCGAGTTCAAGGCCTCATCCTTTGTCGTGGCGATACTAACGCCACCACGTGCGGTTCCTGCCTTAGCAACGGCGCGGTGGACATTCGCCAGATCTGTGCCTACTACAAGGATGCCGTGGTTTGGTATGACGAGTGCCTCATCCGCTTTTCCAACCTGCAGTTCCTCAGCACCTTCGACAACGAGCCGACGGTTGCCTTGGTAAATTACGACCTGAAGGACGAAGTGGATCGGTTCAACAAGGTGGTGAATGAGCTGCTGAGCAGTACGGCCGATTGGGCGGCGTATAACTCCACGAAGAGGTACGCGACCGGGCAAGCGTTCAACGTGACGCAGGCGGTTCCAACTATATATGGCCTGGCGCAATGCACGCCGGACATGTCGACGAGTGACTGCAGGCAGTGCTTGGAAGGGGTGTTACAGGGGCTCCCACAGGGCCGAATGGGAGCTAGGAATCAGGGAGTGAGGTGCAATATAAGGTTCGAAACTGGCCCCTTCTACGAAGGCAACCCCATCATACGGCTCCTTTCACCATTGACGAATGCAACAACGCCTGCGGACAACGCTACAACTCCGGCCTCTGCTCCAACATCCCATCCTGCCGTCGGTCCAACCGGGAAAGAAGGTAAAGATGCACCCTTAGCACAATCAAATTTCCAACTAATTAATTAATTATATGCAGAGATCCATGGCAAATAGGCGACTCATTCATTCTATTAGAGCCTAGGAAAGTATACCACTTGGTCTGATCCACCATTCAACATACGATCAAGACAGGGCAAATCGAATAACCCGTGCTGCAAAATAATGGCTATCGTAACGAAGGTTTTTTGGCGTGTCCGCTAATACAATTCACAATGGTGCAGGAAAAACGAAGAAAACAACTATAGCAATTTCGGTATCCGCAGTGAGCGCAATACTGCTAATCTCCATATTTTGCACTTGGTACAGGAGATCGAGGAAGCGGGCAGCGAAATCACCTTGTGAGTGACTCAACTATTCCTGATGTCCCGTCTCCTTCATTGCAATCGGCCAGTGCTTGTGGAAAACCATTTGTAATTGACATTCTTGAAATCGTCTGCTTAATTTGTCATAGATCAAACTGACTCGGAGCAGGCCACACAAGTAATTGAGTCATTACTATTTCGTCTACCTACACTTCGAGTTGCAACAGCCAACTTCGCCGAAGCGAATAAACTTGGAGAAGGTGGTTTCGGTGCAGTTTACAAGGTACATCCGCACCATATTCTCCTCCTATTTCCAATTCAGTGTCCTCTTGTTTCCATTCTTCCGCTTGATCATGAACTATTGTGCAGGGACTACTGCCGGACGGACGAGTAATAGCGGTCAAGAGGCTGCTGAACTCTGGGCAAGGACTTGGAGAGCTTAAAAACGAGCTGCTTTTGGTTGCTAAGCTCCAGCACAGGAATCTTGTAAAACTTCTGGGCGTTTGCTTGGAGGAAGAGACGATGATTGTGTATGAATATCTGCCCAATGCAAGCCTGGACAAATTTCTGTTTGGTAATTCACGCTCTTAATGTGCTTTCCTTAGAACTTCGATTAAATTATTCTTTTTACTCATTTTCTTTGTTACTTATCTGCAGTTCAAAAAAAAACTAAACCTTTATGATTATGTTTGGAAGTAAAAGCTTTGCCTCGATTCCTTTTTTATGGAGCAGATGCTGCAAGAGGCAAACAGCTGACTTGGGGAATTCGATACAAGATCATTTGTGGAATTGCTAGAGGCCTGCTTTATCTGCACGAGGAATCTCAACTAAAGATCATACATCGAGATTTAAAAGCCAGCAACATCTTGTTAGATGCAGATATGAACCCCAAGATCTCAGATTTCGGCTTAGCGAAGCTTTTTGACATTGACCAGACTCAAGGCACCACCAATCGAATCATGGGAACCTTGTGAGTGGACTGGTCGAATGGTGTACCTATCATTTGCGTTACCTAACCAATCTTAATTCCACTGCAGTGGATACATGGCTCCGGAGTACGTGATGCGAGGCAAGTTTTCGATCAAGTCAGACGTATTCAGCTTCGGTGTTCTAGTTTTGGAGATTTTGACAGGAAGAAAAAGCAATGATTCCTACAATCCAGAAGTTACTGAAGTCCTTCTAAGCTATGTAAGTAGCCAAGTGGAGTCACAAATCACATCGATTGGTTTTGCATTACTACCCAAGTCTATTCCAACTTTTGTGATGCATTCGAGTTGAGTTTCAAGTTATCTTTTTCTTTGCGCAGACATGGGAGAAATGGCAAGACGGATCAGCCTCGGAGATAGTCGATCCAGCCTTGGGTGGTCACTACCAACAAAGTGACCTGTTAAGATGCGTGCAGATTGGGCTATTATGTGTTCAGGAAAATCCATCCGATAGGCCAACTATGTCAACGATAGTTGTGATGCTCAACAGTGAAACTGTCTCTCTCCGAGCTCCTTCACAACCTGCATTTTATGTGGGGAACGGTGATAGGGTTGTTACAATGTCAATAAACCAAGTTTCAATGTCAGAACAAGAATCACGATAGAAATAGAAGGACAATGTTAATCCTCCTTCAAGAATAAGGGCCATTGATGCGTGAAAATGTAATAAATATTTTCCTTGTTTTATGTGACATTATTGTAATATGCAATTACAAGGCTATACCATTAGATCTAATTTTGGCTTCCAAACTAATAATTTTGGTTTCTAAATTTTGAGAGTCAAAATCAAAATCAAATCACATCGCTCTGCATCTACGTTAATATTGATGTTGATGCAAATAAATAATAGATATTATTGATGTTGATGCAAATAAATAATAGATAATATGTAATTAATCCTAATACATTCAAACAGCATAAAAATAAAAATTTATCTACCAGGAGCGTCCATCTTGGAAGATGCATCGCTTCCATTCTACTCATCGAATCCACACCATTTCTTGGTAACAGCTTTTCTTGGTTTCTATTCCTTCGTCAAAGCTAAAATGTGATATGGATATCTGTTTTGATCGCCTACCCGACGCAGGAAGCGTCATGAAAAGGAGGGTAAAATAAAAGGTTAAGAACAATCAATAAACGAGAGAGAATGAACGTATCAAATAATCATTGGAATTTTAGGTGCTTCCAAACTATGTGATGCACAAAATTAGCGTCTGGAACCATGTGGCCAAATTGTTATTTGTTATCCTGGAATTAAGAAGATAAATGAACTCCTTTATGCCGTGGGATTTAGACTCATCATCAATCTTAGCTCCATAATAATGATTCTAACAGGATTTGCTTTGCAGACGTCAACGATGGCGGCTATCAGCGAGCTGTATTATTGAGTCCTCCACCTAATGGAGATTCAAGTGGTGCTTTCGCACATTGTATATTCATATATTCAAATTGTTAGTACATAAAACGTCGTACGAGTAGCTGATAGCATGCATCGTATCCGGTCTTCATGTTTATAATATATCTTCTTCTTTTCCTAGTCTTATCAATTGCCATGGACCGTGCAAGTTGCTGACAGCATGCGTTGTATCCAGTCTTCATTTAACCTTTTTGCCTTCGGTCTTGTCAATTGCCATGAACGTGCCTCGGTGGTACAGACATAGCCAACCAGAGTGAGTTGCGGGCGTAGACAAGCTTTGACAAGTCAAGGAAAACGGGACCAGTTGAGAAATTATATTGACGAAATTATACCAAAATATTGTGTTCGGTGGTGTTCTGTACAAGTAAATCTCTAGGATTGATATTCCCCGATCATACCTGCTGACTTTATGGCTTCCATCTTTTTGGTACACAAATGGTTAACCGAGAATGGAGACTACATGATTTCTAGTTGAGCTGAGTCTCTAAAATAGGACGTATTGGCATATTTGAAGCTACGAACCCCACAGCACGGGGTAACCAAAGATGTTTCCCGGATCAGTTCCACCCAGTTTTTGCTCTTCTACCTCATCCTCCTCCTCCTCTTCGGTCCCTCACCCACCCATGCCTTCACCTGGCAAGTCTGAATTACAAGTGCCCGTCAACCTTACTGCCAACAACACGTATGAGTCCAACCTCAACCTCCTCATCTCCTCCCTCGTCTCCAACGGTTTGGCTTCCGACTTCTTCACTGACACCGTCGGATGGATACCCATCCAAGTTCTACGGATTACGAAGTCGCGTACAATTTCTTAATAAACCTCATCGACTATTCATCATATCTTAATTTTCTAATACCTTTTAATTCTTCATTGGCATCTTTATCTTCATCTCGTGTATTAGTTTATTTATCTGGATACATAGTATCCTACTTATTTATATTTGATGCAAGTATAAAAGTGACTAGTATGATTAGATTGTCGTCTACGATTGGTTGAAGTTAGTTTGGATATATTTTTAATTATTTCACTCGCTTTTGAATAAAAAGAATTACAAAATTATTTCGAGAAGAGGAATACAAAGAAACATTAGAATATCTCTTTACTTTACTTCTAGCAATTTTGCTTGAACTTTTATAAGTATCACATAACCATTATAGTTGTTACATCTCCACTTCATCTCTAATCAGAATTCACAAGAAAGTCTTGTTTTAACTTTTAATGCTAATTGATAAGCATCACATAACCATTATAATTGTTGCATCTTCACTTCATCTCAATATAATTAGTGAAAGAAAATTATCATCTCTTCTCGAATGATTATTTATCTATTATCTTCTCTTCAATCGAAAGAAGATGATTACGAAGACATTTACTTCCATTATCATGCTTGTAATTAGAAGAAGGGAAAAAGGAAAAGATGATAAGAACATTTATATAGAGGGGTATATTAGAAATATTAAAAAAATTAAAATAAAATTATAGATAATAAAAAGGATTGTCAATAGAAATCTTTTTATTTTTTATTTATATCTCCAGCCGTAGAGTACAGAGGGTAGACGAGGCTAAGACATTCGAACAGCATACAAATAAAAACACACACACACACACATCTAGTCCAGTCAACACAATAAAAGAATAGTCCAACAAGTTGCATGCAAGGCCCATGAGCGTCCATTTCTATGATAGATGCATCCCTTCCATTCTAACCATAGACGCCCATTGGTATCCATATTATTATTAGAAAATTAGATATTATTAGAAATTTATGGTCTACAATTCCAGGTTTTGTAATTTCTTCCGGTATGATTCACTCGTATGTACCGGATGTAGAGACTCATCCTCCTCCAAGACTAGAAGACTCGCTGCATACCAATGACTCGTAACGCGGTTGATTTTAATGTTGCCGCCAACGATGACTGCTATCAGCTTCCTGCATCGGTCACTACTAATATATATTCAAGTCGTTGATGCAAGAGGTTCCTTTCTGGGTCCTGAAGCAAGTACCCAGTGGACCTTTTAATACCACATCGAGAAGTTTCAGCGGAGTCGCGTTGGAGATCAAAGAAAAATTTTGAGCTCAAGCTTACGTTGGATGCCCCAGCAAGTTGCTATCGTATATGAATGCGTTGCAGCCAGTCTTGGGAAATTGCTGTGCACCTGCCTCCGTAGTGTGTATATATGTATACCATGATTGGGAAATTGAATTTAATGTGAATAAAATTTTGTGCAGAAAGATGAATATCTCAATAAAGAAAAGATTATTGTCCCAGAAACTCTTTGTGCAGAAAGATGTACAGGAAAGATTATTGTCCCAGAAACTCTTTGTGATGAATATTTGGCTGTTTGAGCTGTATACAACAAAAAGAGAGGTGTTGCCATCTTTGATGCTAGTCCTACAGCACGCAGTAACCAAAGACAACTACTCTGGTTGCCTCGATGAGCTCCACCCCATCTCTGCTCTTCTACCTGATCACCCTCCTCTTCGTTTCCTCTACTGCCGTTGCCATACAAGTCTGCAGCACAAGTGCCGGCAAATTTACCGCCAACGGCACGTACGAGTCCAATCTCAACCTCCTCCTCTCCTCCCTCATCTCAAATGGTTCCGCTTCTGGCTTCTTCACCGACACCGTCGGACGGATGCCCAACCAAGTTCAAGGCCTCGTCCTTTGTCGTGGTGACACAAAGGCCACCACATGCAGTTCCTGCCTCAGCACCGCCGGTGTGGAGATTCTCCAGCTCTGTGCCAACGACAAGGATGCTGTGGTTTGGTATGACGACTGCCACCTCCGCTATTCCAACCTGCAGTTCCTCGGCACCTTAGACAACGATCCGGAGATGCCCGTGGCAAGCGAGTACCAAGTGTACGACGAAACGGATCGGTTCAACAAGGTGGTGAACGAGTTGATGAACAGTACGGCGGATTGGGCGGCGTACAACTCGACGAAGAGGTATGCGACTGGGCTGGCGATCAACGCGACACACGCGTTTCCAAATATATATGGCCTGGCGCAATGCACTCCGGACATGTCGGCGAGTGACTGCAGGCAATGCTTGGAGGGAGTGTCACAGGGTCTCCCGATGGGGAGATTGATAGCTGAAAATCTGGGAGTGAGGTGCAATTTAAGGTACAAAGTTGGCCCCTTCTTCGAAGGCAACCCCATCATAAGGCTTGTTTTCGCCGTGACGAATGGAACAACGCCTGCGGAGAATGCCACAACTCCGGCCTCTGCTCCAGCATCGCAGCCATCTGTCGGTTCAACCAGCAAAGAAGGTAATGACGAACTCCAAGCGTCATCAACTTTCCAACTATATAAATTGCATTGTAAATATTGATTCTTGCCTTTTCCATCAAAAGTTGTCCATCCCAATCTTTTGTTATGTACAATTGACTGTTCTTTTATGCAAACACCATCTTTAACTTTAAACATATAAAAGGTATTCATTGATTTGTACTATTGTCCTACATAAAACTAATCGAAATATGCATCGATAACACTATACATGTAATTGCGACACTGTTACGATATATACAGAACATAATTGCAGTAAAAGATTCGAGAAAGACACAGATAACATTTCCGGTCATATGTATTTCCCATATGTCCAATGCTTTCAAAATCACACATGGATAGACAATTTATTTTTTCCTTTTTCCTTTTGTGTCTACTAATACATTTCATAACGGTGCAGGAAAAAAGAAAACAATTCTAGCAATTTCGATATCTGCGGTGAGCGCAGTACTGCTAATCCCCATTATTTACATTTGCTACAGGAGACTGAGGAAGCAGACATCGAAATCACCTTGTAAGTGACTCGATCATTTTTTTAATGTGCTGTTTCCTTCATTTCAATCATCTGGTGCTTGTGGAAAACCATGTGTAACATGCTCGAAATTGTCATAGATGGGACTGAATCGGAGCAGGCCACACAAGTTGAGTCATTACTATTTCATATTTCTTCACTACGAGCTGCAACAGCCAACTTCTCGGAAGAAAATAAACTTGGAGAAGGTGGTTTCGGAGCAGTTTACAAGGTACAATTCGATATGCTGAATTCACTTCACATTTATCCTCTTGTTCCATTCTTCCTCTTAATCATGAGATATTGTACAGGGAGTGCTCCCAGACGGACGAGAAATCGCAGTGAAGAGGCTGCTGAACTCTGGGCACGGACTTGGAGAGCTTAAAAATGAGTTGGTTTTGGTCGCTAAGCTCCGGCATCGAAATCTTGTAAAGCTTCTGGGAGTTTGCTTGGAGGAAGAGAAGATGATTGTCTATGAATACGTGCCTAACACAAGCCTCGACAAGTTTCTTTTTGGTGATGATTCGCCTTTCTCATATTTACTTCCTACACTCTTTAACGTAACATGTTTGTCTTAATTCCTTTTGCATGCAACAGATCCTGTCAGAGGCAAACAACTAAACTGGGGAACCCGACACAAGATCATTCATGGGATCGCTCGAGGACTGCTCTATCTGCACGAGGAATCTCAACTAAAAATCGTACATCGGGACATAAAAGCCAGCAACATCTTGTTAGATGCAGAGATGAACCCCAAGATCACAGATTTTGGTTTTGCAAAGCTTTTTGACGTTGACCAGACTCAAGCCACCACCAATCGAGTTGTGGGCACTTTGTGAGTGGACTAACTAAATTGTGTTCTCAGGGAGGAAGGAAGCTATATACTCTTTGCGTGCCTTGACCAACCTCACTTTTGGTTGCAGCGGATATATGGCACCAGAGTATGTGATGCATGGCAAGTATTCGATCAAATCAGATGTATTCGGCTTCGGTGTTTTGGTTTTGGAGATTTTGACTGGAAGAAAAAGCAGCGGTTCCTATAATCCTGAGGTTACCGAAGTCCTTCTAAGCTATGTAAGTAGCCAAGTGGATTCACAGGTCACATTGATTGCTTTTGCATTTCTACTGAAGTATTTTCCAAACAGAATAATCACATAAAAGAATGAATTTGGAATTATATTTTCTTCGATGAAGACATGGGAGAAATGGCGGGGAGGATCGGCGTTAGAGATCGTAGATCCAACCTTGGGTGCTCACTACCAACGAAGCGACCTATTAAGATGCATGCATATTGGGCTTTTATGTGTTCAAGAAAAGCCGAATGATAGGCCAACTATGTCAACAGTGGTTGTGATGCTAAATAGTGAGACTGTCTCTCTCCGAGCTCCTTCACGGCCTGGATTTTATCTGGGAAATGGTGGCAGGAATGCAAACTTCAATCCGAGTAACTCCAATCATCCAATCGGTACATCTGACCGAGGAAGTAAGTCATGCCCAATGTCATCAAACGAAGTTTCAATCACAGAAATGGAACCTCGATAGAAATGGAAGGACAATGTTAATATTTCTTCAACCACATAGCCACGTACGCATGTGAATGTAAGGATTCTTATTCCTATTTTTTGGTGTCATTGTCGCACAAGAGAATTACACATTCGTAGAGCTAAAGTTTGATTGTTAACATATATAGCTTAATTTTGCGAGTGGCCTTACTAAATTGTGTACTCATAGAAGTATGTTCGGCGAAATTCGTCGAATAGGCCAACCATGTCGATAATAGTTGTGATGTTGAACACTGGAATTGCCTCTCTGCATGCTCCTGCAAGACCTGCATTTTACGAGGGAAATGATGGCATGAACGCAAACTTCAACTCGACTAACTCTAGTTTTCCGATTGGTGTATCTGATCGAGAATGTATGCCATTTCCAATGTCGTCAAATTGAGTTCTAATCACAGAACAAGCGCACAGGACATCGATGTTTAATGACCCTTTATGTTTCTCCTGATATCGATCGCATCGACCAAAGTGTCGTATGATTGTCAACCGCATTGGCTCCTCAGTGTCGTATGATTGTCACTTCAGCGTGACATATGATTGTCGCACATGGCCAATAAAAGGCCGACACATGACCAAAGTGTGGTCAACGGATGATCGACACATCGGCAATCACCCTCCCTAATCGTAATTGATGATGAAAGTATTCGTCCGAGGAACTCACTGTAAAATGGCCTTCTCAGGTATGCTCCTTCTCATCTTTTCCTAATCGTCCGAGGAACTCACTGTAAAATGGCCTTCTCAGGAATGCTCCTTCTCATCTTTTCCTAATCGTCCGAGGAACTCACTGTAAAATGGTCAGAATCCTCTGTAACTTAAGTATTGGAGTAGTGTTTATCGACGATGCTCCCGATGTAGCTATGCAAGGTTCAGCCTCATTAGAGTCCAATGAATTTTGTACTTCAAGATTGGACTTACTGTGATCCTTTATGTAGTGGCTTGGTAGTCAACACGATTTGAGGTAGATATGAGAGCGAGATTGAAGCAACGGTGGGTGTCTCCTGGGCTAGCCCCGGGAGAAGTTAGGATTGCCTTTGGCGTTGAGTCCCGGCGTAACAGGTCGATACCGAGGGAGGGATTTTCGACTTGACCTCTCCGAAGTTTTGTACGATCTTAAGCATGACTGTGCATCGTTCTCGAATCTACTTCGTTGCTTCGAGGTCATATCGGGCGTGTACGCCATATCAACTCTAAGATGCCATATTGATTCCGAGGTGACTGTCGACTATCATTGTGAGGTGATACCAAAATATTTCTTATCATGATGAATATGGTATTGGTTGAGATCAACTTACAAATGTGGAATGAACCTTGATTAACTCCAAATCTATACCTACATCAAACAATCAAATTCTGCATTAACATGATAAAAGAGAATAAAATTTTGATTCAATACAAATTTGTTCCTAGTCCGATTAATATGTTCATCCAGCAATATCCCCTAATAAATGTTATCCGAAAGTAATTTATATAAGAAGGTGATGGTGACTAACGACACAAAAAATGATTTTAAGGATCTTAATAATTTATAATTCATATTGAAACATCAAAAGTCATTTATAAATAAATTCATGCTACATATAATTTCGAAAACCGAACTTTTTTTCTTTTTTTTGAAAACCAAACTAAAAGTAGGGCAGAGTTATGTTTCCTGGTCGTATGCGCACGTGTCTAATTCGCAGCGGTGTAGACTCCAAGAAAAGTTAATTACCCATTGACTCTGACCCAACGGATCCAAAATGATATCTTTCGGAGGCGGACTTGCAAAAACAGAGAGAAGATAGTGGAATGCAATTAAGCAACGACAGCCGTAAACTTCCGAAGACATCGATTGTTCTCAGAGAGGGAGGGAGATGCAGTTAAGCAAGAACCGTCCTGATCTTCTAATTTCACTTTTCTCAATGCTAACGCTAGTGATTCTGATTCAGAAATTTCTTTTATTAAACATGCATGGCCTTGCTCAAGATCAATCTGACGTCGGAAATCGTGTTTGTACAAGATGATATAGTTAAAGCGAGAAAGAAAGCACAAAATTAGCTGTGGAGATGGTGTGATTTCTTATTCCGGAATTTGAATACACCTTTTTCTGTTCACAAGTTGAATGAACTCGTTTCCACCGTGGGGCGTTGCTCATGCATACCGATGACTCTAACACGGTTTACTTTAATGTTGACGTTGACGACGACTGCTATCAGCTGCCTGCATTATTCCGTCCGCCTAATAAACTTTCGACTGATGCTTTCGTGAGTAATATAATATATTCATGTTGTTAATCCAAAAGGTCGTTCTCTGCTTCCTGTAGTAAGTACGACTGGACCTTTGAACAACTTTGAGAATTTGCGACGGTGTTGCGTTGGAGATCAAATAAAAGTTTTGAGCAAGTTGCTGTTATTTTACACCTTCTTCTTCTTCTTCCGAATCTTGTCAACTGCGGTGCATGTGCCTCCGTAGTCCAGACTTAGTCAACTAAAGTTGCGGGGTTTGACGAAAGATTTTTTAGATCTACTCTGGAAGAGTAGGAAATTAATTCTGTCATGGAAGATGAGTAACTCAATAAAGAAAATAATATATAATAAGTGAAAAAAAATAAAAACATTACTGTCCCGGAGACTTTCTCTAGTGAATATATCCAATAGATTTGAACTTCATCGTTGTCAGTTTTCATCGTTAAGATTGATTCAGTCTTTCTGAATTCTCTTGAGCCGAGTCAATAAAAAGAGACGTGTTGCCATATTCGATGCACCTACCGAATACCACTATGTTTCCCTCGATCAGCTCCACCCAGTTTCTGCTCCTCTACCTCATCCTCCTCTTCGTCCCCTCTCCGACCGTTGCCTTCACGTGGCAAGTTTGCAGCACAAGTGCCGGCAACTTTACTGCCAACAGCACGTATGAGTCCAACCTCAACCTCCTCCTCTCCTCCCTCGTCTCCAACGGTTCCGCTCCTGGCTTCTTCACCGACACCATCGGACGGATACCCAACCAAGTTCAAGGCCTCGTCCTTTGTCGTGGTGATACTAACGCCACCACCTGCAGCTCCTGCCTCAGCAACGGCGCGGTCGAGATCCTCCAGCTCTGTGCCTACGACAAGGATGCCGTGGTTTGGTATGACGAGTGCCTCCTCCGCTTTTCCAACCTGCAGTTCCTCAGCACCTCAGACAACGACCCGACTGCTGCCTTGGAAAACGAGATCGCCGTAAACGACGAAGCGGATCGGTTCAACAAGGTGGTGAACGAGTTGCTCGACAGCACAGCGGATTGGGCGGCGTATAACTCGACGAAGAGGTACGCGACTGGGCAGGCGTTCAACGTGACGCTGGCGTTTCCAACTATATATGCCCTGGCGCAATGCACGCCGGACATGTCGGCGAGCGACTGCAGGCAGTGTTTGGAAGGGGTGTCGCAGGGGCTCCCGATGGCGAGAATGGGAGCTAGGAATCAGGGAGTGAGGTGCAATTTAAGGTACGAGTCTAGCCTCTTCTTCCAAGGCAACCCCATCATACGGCTTATTTCCCCTGCGACGAATGCAACAACGCCTGTGGATAATGCCACAACTCCGGCCTCTGCTCCGGCATCCCGGCCATCTGTCGGTTCAACCAGCAAAGAAGGTAACGATGAACTCTTAGCATTATCAACTTTCCAACTATATATATAATGGATTCTTGCCTTTTCCATATAAAGTGTTCTATCCCGATCTTTTATTATACATAAGTAATTGTTCTTTTATGCAAACAGCATCTTTGAGCATATAAAAGTTGTTCATGGATTTGTACTATTGTTATACATAAAATTAATTGAAATATGCATGGATAGCAATATACATATAACTGAGACACCGTTACGATATATACAGAACATATTCGAATATGTAGGGAAACAGATGATGGGCAAAGATTCAAGAAACTGGTCGATTAGGCACCACAGCGGAGTTTGTCGACAGAGACACGGAAGACATTTACAGTCATGTGTTCCTCATATGTCCAATGATTTCAAAATCAGACGTGGATAAACCATTTTTTTCCCCTTTTTTTGTGTCTACTAATACATTTCATCACGGTGCAGGAAAAAAGAAAACAATTCTTGCAATTTCGATATCTGCAGTGAGTGCGGTGCTGCTAATCTCCATTATTTACGCTTGCTTCAAGAGATTGAGGAAGCAGACACCGAAGCAACCTTGTAAGGGACTGTATTATTCCTGATTTCCTCTCTCCTCCATTGCAATCGGCTAGCTCTCGAGGAAAACCATTTGTGACATGCTTGGAATTGTTTGCTTTGTAATAGATGCAACTGACTCGGAGGAGGCCACACAAGTCGAATCACTACTATTTGATCTATCGACACTACGAGTTGCAACAGTCAACTTCTCGGAGGAAAATAAACTTGGTGAAGGTGGTTTCGGAGCTGTTTACAAGGTGCATCGACACGATATGCTCTTCATATTTCTAATTCGGCACTCGAATTCACTTGGCATGCATCCTCTTGTTCCATTCTTCCTCTTAACCATGAGGCATTGTACAGGGACTGCTACCAGATGGACGAGCAATAGCAGTAAAGCGGCTGTTGAACTCTGGGCAAGGACTTGGAGAGCTTAAAAATGAGTTGGCTTTGGTTGCTAAGCTCCAGCACCGGAATCTCGTAAAGCTTCTAGGAGTTTGCTTGGAGGAAGAGAAGATGATCGTCTATGAATACGTGCCTAACACGAGCCTCGACAAATTTCTTTTTGGTGATTCGCCTTTCACATATTACTCGTTTTCTGTGTTACTTATCTGCAGCTAATTGGTAAAAAAGAACTGCAGCTATCCATTACTCGTCTTCTCCTCGTCTTAATTCCTTTTTCATGCAACAGATCCTGCAAGAGGCGAACAACTAACTTGGGGAATTCGATACAAGATCATTTGTGGGATCGCTAGGGGCCTGCTTTATCTGCACGAGGAATCTCAGCTAAAAATCATACATCGAGATCTAAAGGCCTGCAACATCTTGTTGGATGCAGATATGAACCCAAAGATCTCAGATTTCGGTTCAGCTAAGCTTTTCGATGGCGAGCAAACTCAGGGCATGACGAGTCGAGTTGTGGGAACCTTGTGAGTGGCCTGACAGACTGGACTAGTGTACTTGCAGCATGCGGTATCTATAATTTGTGCTTCCTAACTAATCTTCACTTGGTTGCAGTGGATACATGGCACCAGAGTATGTGATCCATGGCCAATTTTCGATCAAGTCAGATGTGTTCAGCTTCGGTGTTCTGGTTTTGGAGATTTTGACGGGAAGAAAAAACAGCACAGCTTGTAATCCTGAAAATACTGAAGACCTTCTAAGCTATGTAAGTAACCAAGTGGTGTCGTAGAGTGCAGATATTGATTGCTTATTGGATTTCCACGGAAGTCTTTTCGAAACAGAGAATGAACTTGTAGATATGTTTTATTTGATGCAGACATGGGAGAAATGGCGAGGAGGATCAGCCTTGGAGATGGTAGATCCAGCCTTGGGCAATCAATTCCATGGGAGCGACCTGTTAAGATGTATGCAGATTGGGCTATTGTGTGTGCAGGAAAACCCGTTTGCCAGGCCTAGTATGTCGACAGTCGCTGTGATGCTAAGTAGTGCAACAGTGACTCTGCAAGCTCCTTCACAACCTGCATTTTGTTAGATAGGATTTTATTACAAAAATAAATCATGATAAGATTATCATGATTCTCTAAATATTTTGATAATATGTTATTATGATTTTAAGTCATAAAAATTATGATAACATATTATCGTGATTCCATCAAATAATGAGGATATAATATTCTACATCGTGAAATGATTTAGATACATGTTTTATATTTATTATTGATCGAAAAAATTATGTAATTATCATATTTTGTAATATATTTTTATGTATATAAGTTCATATTCACTATTAATAAAAAAATAAGCTAATTATTTCTTTCACATTTTATGTGGAAAATAGTGGCACAAAAGCAAACTTCAATTCGAATAACTCCAATATATAGGGGAGAGCCCTGCATAAGCATCGCAATATTATAGGCACTCAAGCAGGGGGGATGACCCGAGATCAAGATTGTCTCCAACTCCAAAGTTTGGATGAAATTTTACAACTACAAAGTTTGGATGAATCCCTCGACGCCTGCTTCATCCGCACAGGAATCTCAGCTTAAAATGATATATCTTCATGACATGCATTTTATGTGGGGAAGGATAGATTGAATGCAAACTTCAATTTAGATACTGAGAGAGCTAATGCTATCGAAAGTTTCACTTACTAATCTCGAGGAATACAATGTTCCATTGTCGACCAGCCAAACCAGCTACTGTGTTTCAACATGAAGCAAGATCTGTGACTGTCTATTGTCGAGGTTCCAGTACAGTAATTGAGACTTCATTTATTGACGTTGAACTGCCTTCTCTCTCGTTCTTGATTTCTGGAGACCTATTTCCTGTGGATTCATTTGAATCAGTGGTTCCACTTCTCTCAATGAGAAATCCAGGAGCAGAAGGAGATGGAGTAGTCATCGAGGAACTGCTCAGCATGAGAACAACCGATGCCATGGTGGGTCTCTTCGAGGGGTTTTCTTGAACGCACAGTAACGTCGTGCGTATGCATCGCAAAGCTTCTTCCCTTTGAAACCTGCCACATAAGTTTTGATCCACTATCTGCAACGCCTTCCCTTTGTTCCAGTACTTCCATGCCTGTTTAACGCGTACAGTCGCTAATATGCATTAGAATCATCAATCAGTCATCGATCACAGATTGCCACGATCTCATTGTCGAGTGAAGAGAGGAAATGCTTACATAGCTCTGCAGGTTTGCGCGATGACCTGATCCACGAAACTCGCTGATTCTTCGACCAGTTATAATCTCAAGCACCAACACTCCGTAGCTGTACACATCTGATTTGTCCGAGAAGTGCCGATGCAAAGCATACTCTGGAGCAATGTATCCGCTGCACAATGCCACAGATGAACAGGGGGGACAACAACGGAGGTGCTTTTCAACTAAACGAATTCAAAGTTTTGACTCACTTTGTTCCAACTATTCGGCTAGCACTCTCTTTTGATCTGTCTTGGTCGACCAACAGCTTTGAAAGACCAAAGTCAGATATCTTGGGGTTCATGTGCTGATCCAGCAAGATATTACCGGGTTTTAGATCTCGATGAATAATCCTTAGGCGGGAATCCTCATGAAGGTAAAGAAGTCCTCTTGCAATCCCTTCGATGATCTTGTAGCGCCTTTCCCAGTTTAGTTGACCACATTTTGTGGGATCTGCTTCACCGTGGTTGAATGAGTTCATTGGCAATTAGTTCATTAGCAATCTTACAGTAAAAGAAAATGGCATGGACACTAATAGGAGCTCTTCGATAATACATCCGTTAGCATCTCATTAAAAGCTTTGTTTTCAGAAAATTAAGAAGATGGAGGAGGATCGTACCAAACAAAATTTTGTCTAGGCTTCTGTTTGGGAGGAACTCATAGACAAGTAGCTTCTCTTCTTCCGAGCAAAAACCGATGAGCCTCACAAGATTTCTATGCTGAAGCTTAGCAATAAATGCAACCTCGTTTCTTAGCTCTGCAAATCCTTGCTGTGAGCTTCTTGAGAGTCTTTTCACAGCTATTTCCTGGCCACCTGATAGTACGCCCTGTTCCATATTTTGGGTAAGACGAAGCACTGTTGTAATTAAATGTAGACATAAAGTATGCAGTGTTTACTGCAAAAAAGGATAAACCACTGGCTTTAACCATATATTTGACCTTATAAACCGGTCCAAATCCCCCTTCTCCAAGCTTGTTTGCGTCCGAGAAGTTATTGGTTGCAACCTTCAGTGTCTCAAAATCAAATAACAGAGAGTTTGCCTTTTGACTTTTCGCTCCTCCAACATCTGATGATCGTTATATAAATTTTTTTGTTAAAAAAAAAAGAATTGGTTTTGGCAAAATTTTAACATCTAAATGAATAAGAAACAAAAAACATAGATGGAGTCAAATAAATTTACATACTCGACTTTCTGGCAAATATTTTCGTCCTCCACAAAAAAATCAAAAGCGCAGCGACAAGCATCACAGCACCGAGGATGGGGATGACGACAGCCACTACTATTTTAGAGTTCTGCTTTTTTCCTGAATTAAAACGATAAACAACATCTGATGAATATTTCCATCTTCTTATAATTAAATTTTAATTATGTACAACTTGCAACAATTGGTAGGAAAATATGGATGAATCGTTTGTAATACATAATTTAATTATGTACTGTAACTTGCCTGCATCTCTCGCTGATGATGACGAAGAGTTGGAGTCCACCACAGCAGGCGGAGGCGGTGGATTGGCTGTAGCGCCAGGCGGAGGTGCCGAAGAGAGTGCAGATGACAGCGGAGGCAGTGGAGATGTCGGGACTGACATATTATAGTATGAATAGGTCTCGTACCTCAAGAAGCACCTGTACTTCAACACCACTCCTCCCTGGTTTTTCCAGCAACAACTCTGCATTGAAGCCAACGACTGCCGAAGACACTGAAAGCAGTCATCATCAGACTGATCCCTGGTGCACTGCACCAATCCATACAGATTGGTGAAGCTCGTAAATTTGGCTTCTCCGATGGCGAACATGCTGTCCGTCTTGTAGGCAGCCCAGTTGATGAGGGCATTCATCAATTCCCCCACCAGATCCACGAATCTCGACGTCTCCGAAACTTCTCCTACGTTGTATAAGATTTGGGAAAAGGATGATTTGTTGCTCTCGGCCGAGAAATTTGTGTTGGAGTAAGCAAGGAAGCAGTGATCTCCCCAGGTAGCCGCATCTTTTGCGTAGGGGCAGCGACTATGGAGGGTGTCGACGGCGGTGGCGAGGCAAGCTTGGCATTTATCTTGAGAAACGTCGAGTTGGCAAAGCGCCAGGCCGAATACTTGGTCTGGGGAACTCCCTGCAGATCTGTTCGCGTATCCGGAGGAGACGGTGGCCGAGGTGAGGGACGGGAGGAGGAGGTTGAGGTTGGAATGGTAGGTGCTGTTGGTGGTAAAGTTGGAGTCTGTGGGACACCTTTCCCATGATACAGTGTGGCGTGCGTTATAGAGGGAGAGGAGGAAGAGGAGCTGCGCAAGTATCCGGAAGTAATTCCAGGAATGCATCGTGCAACTGGTTGTCCTCCGTTGTTTTTGGGATGCCGTGGAGAGAGCATAGAGAGACGTAGCTAACTATCTATAATATATTTGGATCAAAGATTAATTTGCATGGTCGCCGTAGTTTGTTTCATTGTAGTACCGTCCAATACACACTAGAAAACGTCGCACACAAATGATATACTCACTGGGGTGGAATTGGTCCATGACAAGTTAGGTTCAGAGAAATTTATTTCATAGCAATGATGGTCATATAAAGTTAGATGACCGAAGAATACGTGACAATGGCTCGTTGTTCCTTTGAACGGCCACTTCGTTCAAATGTAGAGGGATCCGAGTCAAAAGGACTAGAAGGGGATTCCTGTGATTGAAGTGATGCGAGTCTTGTTGACTTTGTTTCCACGCGTAGGACGCAATGACGCGGATCAACAACACTACAATTTCTTATCGAACGAAGACTCCCCAGCAAGAGATGATTTCGGCAAAACACCCATTTACTGCAAGCGGCAAAATACTTCTTTCTTCCTTGCGTGTCTTTTCGTCACAGAAAATAGGAGGAAAGGACACCAATGAGACCTGATCCAAAATTGGATTTGACGCTAATAAAATAGCTTCCGTAGTGTAGATATAAGTTTACAAGAAAGAAAATGAATGTTTTAGTAAATTAAGTTTCTATTTCATTCAGTCAAATTATCTTCTTTCATTGAACTCTAAAAATATCAATAAAATATTTACAAAATATTTTTATAAAATATCAATAAAATTTATTTTTCTAAATAAAAATCTCGGACAATCACAAACTTCTTTTTATGCGGGAGTTCAAGCTGTACCAAGTTAGTCCAACTTATAAATTTGAAGATAATGAATTACTAGCTTCTTGGAATAGATGGGTGGCAAACGGTGTGCTTTTTTGTTATATTGAATTAATAGAGACTCGACATATGGAGTCCAATCAATTTTGTATCGATGATGCATCAACCAAGTGCATCACTTCGGTATGACATTCAAAGAGAATATTCTTCGTGCTAATACGAAGAATCCTCCCCAAGTATGTTTTGACTTGAGCATTCTGAATTTATATAATTAAAATAGATATATCAAACTGCTCATAAATATTTTTTTCTCGTAACGAACAAGCAAGCAAAGACTTGACTAACAAACACGTTTTGGAGAATAAATCATCGGCATAGTCTTCGGTAGAAACTAAGAAACCAAAATATGAAATACAGATATCTTCTACTCTACTCTCAAATTGAAGTTAGATGCGAGATATAGATATTTTCCTGTCCTCAAATAAAATTTACCTCCAATCAGTCTAAATTGTTTTTCTTTATTAATACGACAACACTCAAATATGAACTAAACGGTGTGTTGTTTGTTTATTTTTTGTGCCACAATTGTTTCTGAAGGTATAAAGATGATATCTTAATTTAAGAAGCTGGTTTTGTGATGCAAGTGCTCATTCGGGTTCATGTTCTGCCAAGCAGGGACGACTGCGGGCATGCAAGATCATTTGGCTTCGTATCATCGTTATCAGGGCAGCTCGTTCTGA